GCTAACTGTAGACTGCCAAAATTGTTGACCAGGGTATTTATTATTAACATTTCACAAACCTCCTTTTGAGCTCTTCTTTTATTACCACAACCAATCATAATTAAAATGTCTATTCTTTTAGTCTCGAACAAATGAGCCATACATAAATTTAATACGCGCACATATATTATACTTACGTCTTCTAGTAACCTTAAATACCTAAATGACAGCAGCCTACTAGATTCATATCAATTGTTTATTTGGCTTTTTGACTAATATTTTATTATCTTCAAAGTTTTTTCCCTAATGTTTAGCAGAACAGATACGAAAATACCTGATTATTTCTAAAGCACAATTTAATATACCAGGCAATATTCCTGATATAAAAGTTAGGACAACGGAAGAAATTAACAAAATAACGCCTGAGGTCATACAAAATGTTGTATGAGAATTCCAAAATCACATCGGTTATTGTCAGGAAGTGAATAATGGTGATCAAGTTCAACATTTAATTTAATTGTAAAAATCAATTTTCTCAGTTATAATTATTGCACAAACTCAAAAAACTTTATATTGCTGAACAGAGGACTAAAATTCCTTTCTAACTAAGAAGGAGGACTAAAACAAGGTGCTACACCTTGCTATTTAAAATTTTTGAGGGGGTGCTTATAATTCAAAGGGAGTGCTGGAGGGAGATATTATTTTCATACTGTAAATTGTCAATTTAACAATAAAAATCGACCTGTTTAAGGTTTTTTTCACATAGTACATAATATTAAAGCTAAAAATAAATTTATTCCCTACATATGGATCACATGGTATATTTTCGTATATATATATAATATATATATAATATATATATATGTATATATATATATATATAATATATATATATATATATATATATATATAATGGCCTTGTTTTTACTGTACGCGACAGAGCAACAAAACAAAAATATTCGATTATTTATTTTAAAAATATTCAGTTGAACCGGTTTTAATACCTGCTTACAAATTATTAAGTCTTTGTATTTATTACATTCTTTCCATGACCTAGTACGATTATCTGTATCGGAATCTTAATGCTTTTACTTCTTGACATGGGGGACCTCCATCTATTTTTATTCCCGTTGTCTGCCAATCCAAATGTTTGAAAGTTTTGGTGACATTGATTTCAACAAAGACGTTTTATTTTTTCTATAAATAATGGCTCAAAAAAACTCAAAATCACCTAGATCTGATACGAGAAATACGAGCATCAAACATTTTTAACACATGAATTGGTACATATAAAAAGTGTAACATGGTATAGTTTTTGTTCTGGTCCGGACAGCCATCACTAAACAAAACCAAATTTCTACATAAATTTTTCTGTATAAGTAAACATTGCTGCTTAATTACTCTAAAAATCATAGATCCCAAGAACATAGAAACTATATCTGCCTTGAAAAAAATACTGACCAGCATTTCTGTATCTGAATGAGCTAAAGAAAGCTTTTGACACAGTAAGACTTAAAGATGTAATCCATCTTCTTTATAATAGATAAGTTCCCCTAAATATTATAAAAACAATCGAAAACATCTATCAGAAGAACAAACTGGAAGTTAGAATGGATGGATAACTTACAGAACCTATAGAAATAGGCAGCGGAATAAGACAAGGGGTTCATTGAGCCCCATGCTCTCCAATTTAATCATGAATGAAATCATTAAAAACTTTAACAAAGAAAGAGGATACAGAATGGGAAACAAAGAAATCAAAATACTCTGTTACGCAGACCACGCAATATTAATAGCCCAAGATAAAGAGAGTCTGCAAAGACTGGTCTACAAATTTAATATAAAACCAAAAGAATTTAATATGACAATTTCATCTCAGAAAATTAAAACAATAGTGGTCAGAGCAACCACATGTAAAATAGTAGTTGATGGCATCAGTATTGAACAAGTAATGGAAATAACATAATGGAAGAAAAATCCTAATTTAATGTTAAATTTTGTTTTAAATACTTTCCAATACATTTTTTAGGGGGCGTTAAGGTAGTATATCTGCAAAAAGGCCTTGTGCATATCTTTTACTGTAAACTTTGATAATAAGTACAGCTGATTCGAAATTTTTCGCAATGAGTAATGTGACTGCATAGGAGAAAATGTATGTATGTGATGCATTATGAGGGTTTTACCTTCTTTTCCCCTCGCATCTCTAGGTGTATAACCTTTATCTACTAGTGATATCTCAATTCTTTCTAGACGAGGCAGTAAGAATCAAAAACTACACAATATTATTATAAAACAAAAACCTGCAATCATCTACTACTTTTTTCTCAGCTATTATTTCCGCTTGTGATTTCTATATTCCATACCTTTCACTTTAGCTTATTTTACGGCAAGTTTCGGATGTGTTTTTGGTTTAGCATTCTCTCGCCACTGGACAATAGTCACTTCTGTATTACTTTAACTTACGCATAGAGAAACACGTGCAGTGAACTGGATATTTATTTTGTCAGTGAACGACGTTGTTACCGTTAGCTACCCATAAAACAGATATAAACTAACCCTACCAAGAATGATTATACATTACACCTAAGAAACGAATTACATCTAATAAACATTACATGTATTAGACATGTGACGTTTTAGAACATAACAAATTTTATCGGTAGATATCATGGAACCTATGATATTTTTCCGAGAAATAAGTGTTTGTATGCGTATAAATGGGGGTAGTCCAGTCAAGAGAGCAGCATTGCCGAGGAGTCTAACGGGAAGAGGACTTATGGATATAAGTGAGTAACTATATAAACATATTGCTAATTTCAGATCTTATTTTTAGAAGTAGGCAGAAACATCTACTTTACATCGCGTGTGGTAACCACTGAGCTCCGATATATCACAATACCCATTCCAGAATTCTTCTTATTCATGTACCCTGTCCTTTCAGAACGCTGGTTACCATCATAGCTATCTTAATTTTATTCACTGCCTCCCTAAATAGCATGCTTCAACACCATATCAATCTCGACAGTTCTTCAACCATGAGGTTCTTCTTTGTCCTGAACTGCATTTGACTGATATTTTTTCTTGCACGATATTTTGTAGCAACCTATATTTGGAGCCCCTCATTACATGTCCAAAATACTTCAACTTTCTCTTCTTAATGCTTTTTATGATCTCAGTAGTCTTGCTGAGACGTTATAGTATTGTGGAGTTTCGAATTTTCTCCACCCAGGAAACTTTTAAAATTCTTCTATAGTACCACATTTCGAAAGCCTCAAGGCGATTTAGATTGATTTTATTCACAGCCAGGACTCGACACCATAAAGTAACACCGAGAATACGTAGCAGCGAAGTAGGCGGATCCTCAATGCAATGCCAAAATTCCGGACCTCTTTAGTAGTGGTTTATACAGGTCTAGTAGATGGATACTGTATATTTCTGGACTCTCTTGGTAGTCTTCAAAAAGTGCTTTTGCCTACTATTTCATTGTGTCCATTGACTGAACTATATCCAGTGAGGAGATTATATGTTGATGGTCATATAATTCAAAGAGTGTCCAGTTTGAATATTTTGGTTGCCATATTACTGAACAACTAGATCCAGATCAAGAGATAAAATGTAGAATCAAGATAGCCCGCACGACATTTTTAAAAATGAGGTCATTCTTCTGTAATGATAACTTGCAACTTCAACTTCGAAAGCGCATGGTTAAATGCTACATTTGGTCAGTCCTTTTATACGGTGTCGGAGCATGGACAATAAAAATATCCACCATTAATCGTCTGGATGCCTTTGAAATGTGGCTGCACATACGTATACTAAAAATTCCATGGACGGCTATTCTGACAAATGTGGCAGTCCTTGAGAGAGCAAATGCTGGTCGTGAGCTGCTTGATACCATCAAATGTAGAAAGATGGCCTATTTTGGACACGTAGTAAGGGGAGACCGATATACTATTCTTTAACTTATTATGATGGGTAAAATCGAAGGACGCAGAGGAATTGGTACAAAGCAGGCCTCTTGGTTGAAGAATATCAGGGAGTGGACAGGAATAAAGAAAGCTAAGCAACTATTTAGAATAGCTTGAGACAGAGACAGTTTCGCCATGTTAATCGCCAACGTCAAGGGGACTTGATAGGGCACGTTAAGAAGAAGAAGATTCCTCATTGTTTTTTGCAAAACATTCTGTCTTATTAAAATATACACGTCCATTATAAATTTTCTAATAAGTAAAACTGGATAAATCTCAGGTCGATTGCCATGTGTCTCAACAGACATAAGTTCTCACACAAGATACATTACTGAAAAAAAATCAGTCATTGGGCACCACCCTAGACGCGAAGCTGCGCTGGGAAATTCATGTCAAAGAGAAAATAGGGAGCTTGATATTAGGTATAAGAAATTGTATTGGCTGATTGGGAAAAATTCAACATTATCCATTCATAATAAATTATCCATTTACAAGCAAGTACTGAGGCCAGTATGGGTATATGGGTGCCAACTCTTTGGCTGCACCAAAGCTAGTAATCTACATATTATCCAGATATTTCAAAACAAAATACTGAGGAACATTGTTGATGCTCTTTGGTATATCCGTAACAGCAACCTTCTCCAGGACCTGGATATGGAAACAGTTACCGAAGTAATCAAAAGAACAACAACAAGTCAGAAGCAGAGGCTGCATAGTCATGTGAATGTCATGGGAATCTAGCTTCTTAAAAACACTAAACTAAATAGAAGACTCGTAAGAACAAAACCATTTGAATTAGTGTAAATGTGTAACAATTTAGTGCAAAAAGCAGATAAAAATAACTGGTAATTGGTTATTTGTGACCAGGTATCAGTATACGAACATCGTACAGGTGTTATACAAAAAATTCAGTTGTTGGAGTATGTTTTTCACTTTATTTATTTTCTTCTTATTTTTATTGTTAATATTTATCTATTCATAAGGTTTACCAAATTTGTAGAAACGTTATATAATTGAACTGCAACATTTTTTTAAAATATTGTTTATTTTCAGCTTCATTATTTATGAGAGATCGAATCAGAGCAAAGGAATTTTTTCCCATTTACAAAGAGTGGTCCTTAGGAGTCGCCGTTGTTAACATTATACATCCTGACGATATCGAGGTAAGCAAATATATTTTTATCCAAAATAACTGAGCGAGTGTTTTGTATAAATTTGTGTTGCATAACTTTAAGTTTTCGTAGGTTGTATTGTATTATGTAACGACAAAAATAGTAATTATAGTTCAATGATTAACATAAACATGGCAAAAGTAATATTTGAAGTAGAGGGCAAACTTAAAGAATGTGAAAATTACGTCACGAACCTATTCGAAGACGATAGGAGTAGTTCACCTCCCGATATTACTAACTGGACCACTAATAACACGCTCTAAGGTTATAAAAGTCATAAAATCATCAAAAGATGGCAGAGCGACTGGTCCTATGAAATTCCAACTGAAATACACAAGCTTATAAATGTTTAAGAGGCTATAACTTCGTTTTTCAATTCCATCTGTACCAGCCAACAACTACCTAGTGGTGGTCTAATTCACTGTTAATAGCTCTACCTAAAGGCTCATAGAATTCTGCCAAGAAAAGAATATGGTAATTGCCAATACTTGGTTTTCAGCTTCCTAAAAGAAGACTATATACATGAACGTCTCCTCACATACAGAAAACCACATTGTCAGAAACCAGATAGACTTTATACTCGTAAATAGCAGATATAAAAAACTCTATAACCTCAGTTAAAACTTATCCTGGAGCAGATGTTAACTCAGACCACAATCCGCTAGTGGCTGACGTGAAAATAAAATTAAAAAGAATTGAACTCAGAAAACAACAACCAAAAATTAACGTAAGAATGCTACAAAACGAAGAAATAAAAAACGAAATAAAAAATAATGTGAATGTTAATATGCAAAAAACACTAACTGACAACAAACAAATTATGGATGTAAATAAAAAGTGGTGTAATATAAAAAACACATTACTGAAACCAGCTCAAGAAAGTTTAATAGAACATAAATCAGAGGCTAAAAAACACTGGATGACAGAAGAAATACTATTACTGATGGAAGAAAGAAGGAAATATAAAGGAAAAGATCTACAGAAGTATAAAGAAATACAACGAATAATTAAGGAAAAAATCAAAACAGCTAAGGAAATCTATTTGATGAAGCAATGTAAAGAGATAGAAGAACTAGAAACAAAATATGATATGAGAAATATGCACAAAAAAATTAGAGAAGTGACTGGAATGGGTCGAAATAGACAGCAAGGACACATAAAAGACAAAAAAGGAGCACTACTAGTAGATTTACCAGAGAAGTTAAGGCGATGGGAGGAGTACGTTAGAGAACTTTTCCAAGATGAAAGAGGTGAAATGAAGAAAATACAAGAATTAAATCCTTTAGAGATACAGAAGATCACGATAGATGAAATCAAATATGCTATCAAAAACTCTAAAGACAATAAGGCAGCTGGATTAGATGAAATACCAGTAGAACTCTTAAAACTAGTGGAAGAGGACAACTTGGAAGTATTGGCAGATTTATTCAACACGGTGTACGATACAGGAATAATACCACAAAAGTGGCTAAAGTCAGCATTTATAACCATCCCTAAAAAACAAGCAGCAAAAGAGTGCTCTGATTATCGAACACTGAGCCTCATGAGTCATACTTTAAAAGTTCTGCTAAAAATAATACATAAGAGAATATACGAAAGGCTAGAGGAGGATATAAGCGAGACGCAGTTTGGGTTCCGAAATGGAATGGGTACTCGAGAAGGACTATTTGCCATCAACATATTAATTCAGCGATGTCGGGATGTGAATGTTGATCTAACACTTGTGCTTCGTTGACTACGAAAAAGCTTTCGATAAAGTAAGACATGAAAAACTAATATCAATACTTATGAACAAGCGCATTGACAGTAAAATCATAAATATAGTGCAAACATTATATTGGAACCAAAGTGCCATAGTTCAAATTGATGGGCAACACTCAGAAGAAATGAAGATCTGTAGAGGAGTTAGACAGGGATGTGTGTTATCACCACTTTTGTTTAACTTATATTCTGAAGAAATTTTCCAAAACACGCTCAATAATATCGAAGCGGGAGTCACCGTTAACGGAAAATTAATTAATAATTTAAGATATGCAGACGACACTGTGATCATAGCAACGAGTATAGAGGATCTACAACATCTTATCGAAAGCTTGAGTATAAATAGTGCTGAGATGGGAATTACTATAAACGCCAAAAAAACGAAGTACATGCTGATTACAAAAAGGCCACAAAATATACATCACCTATTGACAATAAATGGATACGTGATAGAACAAGTAGAAAAATATCAGTATTTGGGAACTTTGATCAATGAAACCAATGATCATACTGTAGAAATAAACAGACGAATAGAGATTGCCAGATCAGCATTTATACGAATGAAGCCACTCCTAACGTGCAAAAATCTAAATTTGGAGATCAGACTACGTACCATTCGCTGTTATATATTTTCAATATTATTATATGGAGCTGAGACTTGGACATTAAAAAAATGTAATTTAAAAAGAATCGAGGCCTTCGAACTCTGGTTATACCGCAGAGTATTGAAAATATCATGGACTGATAGAATTACAAATAAAGAAGTACTGGAGAGGGTTGGTAAAGAAACAGAACTAATCACCACTATACAAACCAGAAAACTGGAATACCTAGGCCACATGATGAGGGACCAAAATATGAAATTTTGAGACTGATAATACAGGGAAAGATTCAAGGAAGAAGATCTGTTGGCCGAAGGCAGAACTCATGGTTAAAGAATCTACGTGATTGGTACCAATGCAGATCGATTGATTTGTTTAGAGCAGCAAGTTCTAAAATAAAAATAGCCATTATGATTGCCAACCTCCGTAGGGAGACGGCACTCTAAGAAGAAGAAGCTCTACCTAAGAAGACAACAGCAGAAACCTGTGCTATAGAACCATCAGTTTGTTAAACCACTTATTGAAAATTTTTCTGAAGGTAATACATGGTCGTATCTACAATAAATGCGAGGAATACCTGGATAACACTCAGTTTGGTTTCTGTAACGGGTTTGGAACGAGAGAGGCACTGTTTAGAATGAACGTACTTGCTCAAAGATGTTGAGATATATCTGTAGACATATCCTGTTGTTTTATTGACTTTCAAAAGGCATTTGATCGTGTTAAGCACTCTATATTGATCGAAGCTCTAAAAGATATTAGCTTGGACGGCAGAGAAGTTTGAATAATTGCAAATTTATATTGGAATCAAACAACATCAGTTTTAGTAGATGGTGTGGAATCACAGGCTCTCAATATTAAAGGAGGAGTATGTCAGGGATGCCTCTTGTCACCCCTACTTCTTGTCCCCTACAAGGTGTTATGTAACAGAGACCTAAAATTAGCATTAAGGAACAGCCTACTTCACTAACTTCTTAAGGCTTTCGAAATGTGATGCTATAGAAGAATTTTAAAAGTTTCCTGGGTAGAGAAGATTCGAAACTCCACAATACTAGAACGTCTTAGCAAGACTACTGAGATCATAAAAAGTATCAAAAAGAGAAAGTTGAAGTATTTCTGACATGTAATGAGAGGTTCCAAATATAGGTTGCTATAAAATATCATGCAAGGAAAAATAGCCGGCAAACGCAATCTAGAATGAAGAAGAACCTCATGGTTGAAGAACTTGCGAGATTGATATGATGTCGATACAAGCTTGCTATTTAGGGTGGAAGTGAATAAAATTAAGATAGTTATGATTGTAACAAACGTTCTGAAAGGACATGGTACATGAAGAAGAATGATTAATTGAAAAATGATTCATTGGCAAGACTTAAATGTTCAGATGCGATTTAACAGAACGTGGAGTGGCGTTGTTCATCATCGAAGAGAAAAAGAAAATACTTAATAGAAGAACCAGAAGAAGACAAAATATAAAAATGTAAACCAACCCAATGAGAAATACCCTCTTTGACCAACAATATTTGTAGTTTACGATCCTTGGGATAGAGCAAAACAATCTATATATGGCCAGCGCTTCTACTTCCGTTGTTTGTTGGTAAAATAACATGGTTCAAAGGAATTTGTTAGCTGATGTATAGCACATACTTATCCCATCAAATATTCCGATATGGTAAGGGACACGTACGATCAGTGTCGTGGTAATTTTACTATTAATTGGTCTAACCAAGTTGTGCTGGAATTTTTATCATTGTATACTAACTTACTAAAATTTTTAGTTGACACGCTTTATTGGGGTCGTTATCAAAAAGTAAATATTTATCAATTTCACACTAACATGGGGTGTCAACCGTGGTCTCTCTTTTTCACTGTATATATTTTTGGGCCCACTTTGCCGTGTTAACTAGCGAAGAGCGCCTTTCTACGAGCTGTCTAAGGTGCGGTCTGAAGTCGGCATCTCACAGCTCGTGGAAAGGCGGTCTTCACTGAATTACCTCGGCAAGAAAAACAAAAAATCGATATTAACAATCAGAAATGGGACAATGGTTGGCATCCCACGATACTGTGAAATTAGTAAATATTTGCTATAGTATTTAATAAATGTTTTATAGTTATTTTAAATTTAATGAAAATTTATAAATATTTGATAAATGCACTCGAGCTATTCAAAATGTAGTCGAATCATTTCGATGGTAAGTATCGAGGTTTAAGTCTGTTGTACGCCATCAGTGTTGCCGGTAAGAAATTATAGTAAGTTAAGTTATTTATAAGTTATTTATACAATGAATTCCAACACAAATTCGTTAGATTACTCTAGTCCGAAGGGCTAGACATGCGGTACATTATCTTCCGATTGTCTTTTGAACCAAGTCGATTTACCGACAAACAACAGTATAGCACGCGCCGGCGATAAATAGACAGTTTTGCCCTATCACCAAGGTCCAAAGAATACCGGAATAATAAAAAACATATATGATACAACATTATATATTGAAATAAAATTCACACTCAAATATCTTTAATAAAAAATATCTCATATAATGATTATCAAAATTTTGTTTTACGTACGTGAACCTTCAAAAAATTAATGGTATATACAATATAAATTAAAATTTCGAAATCAAAATTGTTGTTCTAAATCTCCTAATCAAAATATTCCTCTCTTTTTTAAAGCAATTGTTAAAAAAAATGTGTTTTTAATAAAGGAGAACTGACGATAGTAAAACTATCTCTCTGGATGATGAGTTGTCCAAATCCTTGTTCCTTGTAGCCCTACACTATCTATTCTTAGCAGCCCCTAGGTAATCAGGAATCTTACAACAAATTGGTTGCGAGCCTATCGTCTTTATGATCTCCTTCGTTCAAATGATTGCTAGCCTCTTCTCCTCTTGATAAACTGAATCTCTCGTTCTGGCCACTAAACAGTGAACTCTGGAATATAAGTAGAAAAATATAACTTACAATATTTTACTGGATTAGCTTCTGTCAGATCCACTTACTCCTCGGGAAAACTCACAAACATTTACTTCTACTGCTTACTACCTCTCGAGAACCACAGAGAACGATGGACTGTTCGCCTTGCACACTTGGAAAACCACTGATTATCATTTCTCCCTAAAAAATCTAGCTAATACTCTCATTCCCTACATACCTATCCCACTATTTTCAATCTTTCTCCAATCGAAGCTCGTCACTTATCCCCATCTACTATTTAGATAACAAACAACAATTTTACCTACAATTATAAATTCCTAAAAAAAACTATTAACATGACTAATCGGTTTCTACAAATTCTTAAGAACTAACGGAAGAAATATATTTTCTATATACTTTTATTCTATTGTCTTATTCATTGAGCAAGGCCATTTGGAAAACCCGCTCGCATTTTTCATTATTTCACTAAGCTCACTCACGTCACAAAGAAAATAATTTATGCATATCTTTAAATTTTGTTTACTACAGGTAATCCAGGATAATGGACTTTCATTTATTTTATAGTTTATTAGTTGAATTATTTGAATTATTATATTTTGTACTTTGAAATATATTAAGAGCAAACCAATATTGTTGGAGTCAATAAAAGAGGCTATTTGTTGACTATTTTTTACTCGAGCTTTCAATTGTGATTACAATTTTTATTAAGAGCTACTAAAAAAATACAAAATATCTTACAAAGTTGAACAAGAAATAAAAAATTTGTTGTTAACTCACCAAACAAATTAGTTTTTTATATATAAGCTGTTGCTAACATGTTTCTCTGAAATAAATTTTTGATAAAGTTTCTTAACAAAAACAACTGAATTTGTAAACAAAAAATTGAATAGCTACAAATCAGCCTAAATGTCATAAATACCAACTAAACATATTGGTCAAAAATAAAATTTTGTTTAAAAAATTCTTTATTGTTCAGTTCAATAAAAAAGAAGAAGATTTATTCACCATTGATAGATGCCCTGAAAAAATGTAACAAATAGGTACATGGAAAATTCAAAATGTGATATTTTACTGATTGCATATATTTATAATATTTACCTACATAGAAATAATATAATTATAAATTTTGCTTAGATTTTGAATTTCTGACCTTTTGTTTTAAATTATTATCACTTTTGCTAATACAAACCATTTCCAAAAAAAGTTCTTTTAAATTTATTAACTTTCACAACATAAAATTTTAATATTATCAAAATTCATAATATGGTCTTGTCTATTACATGTTCTGCTCTGCCTGTACATAGTCAACAAATAGCCCCTTTTATTGACTCCAACCCATCCAAAACAGTTTATATTTTTTCCAACGAGTCACAACTTTTTTCTTACTCTTATTATATTATATATATATATATATATATATATAAATATATTGTATATATATATTATATATATATATAATATATGTATATATGTTATATATGTATATATATATATTATATGTATATATATATATATATATATATATATATATATTATATATATATATATATATACTTGACTTTTGACTAGGGTTTTCTGCATCTCAGAGTGTTTCATGTCTTGTTTCTTAAATTCCATTATTAATTGCTATAATTATCATGATTAACTTCAGTTATTATTCAGATGTTCATTTTGTTTTGGTTGTTTGTTTTTTCTAACCTACTTACTAAATACTATTTTCTTTTTATTGTTTGACATAATGACTTTTTTTAAAATTCCCTCTCAATTTAAAGTTGGTAACATGGTTGGTAGTACTTAAAAATCACAAACGGCATTTTGTTAGACATCAGTTTGAAAGTTTGTTTTTTGTAGTTACATTGAACTATTTAAACAACAATAGTTCCTTCCTACTACCTCTTTCTGTTCGTGATATGTGACTGAATTCAAACCTGCGAAGACGACTGTTTTTTTGGCAAACATGTCGTCTTATTTTTTACTTTTTAAACTTGTGTAACATGTTCTTTAATTTTTAAGTTATTTTAAAGTTTTTAAGTTTTACTGCCTTCAGTAATTCAGATCATATTATGTTATTTAACGTTGTGTTTTATATGCTATGAATCTTACTTTCTGGTAAGTTTTTATAACTTTTAACATTACATCAGCCTAATTTTATAACACAGTAATTTTCATTGTAGACCTTGATAAAGGTGGCAAACAACCATCGAAAGCTCGGATTTCAGAATAAATAGTACGCCTTAGCAAAGCTCTATTTTTTTATTGACTACCACACCCAAAAGAACGAAGTATTTATATATATATATATATATATATATATATATATATATATATATATAATATATATATATATATATAAGTAAATTTACAACAAGATTGATATTAATTACATAAATCAATTACATTTTAGTTAGTGACCACTAATCCAAAAAGTATAACTAAAAGTTTTATTTACCATTTTCTGCATCCATGGCTGGGTAATGGTATTCTAACAAGTACAGGTAAAGTATTATTGAAATCATGTATATCATATAAGTATTTTTATACTAGCTTTTGTGCAAGTGACATTAAATATTATGTCGCACTAATTTGCGTAAAATTTCTTTTTATAATAGCCACATGGATTGATTGTTCTACTTTTGGTATCTAAGTCCATTCACGAATGTTTTTTAGCTAAGACACATGTCTTCTTTCTATACCTCTACGGCATACTATTTTGCCTTTAAGGATCAGTTTTGGTATTCTATATCTATTTTCTCGTTAGTTTTTGTGCCGTCCAAGATGTTTTTTCCAACATTCGTTTATAAATCCACAATGATTTAATTCGGGTTATGGCCAAATGTGGATACAGCACTACTTTTCAAAGTTTTGGCCAGAATCATATATTATCCCAATCCCTAAACCTCAAAAACCTAAAACAGATCCCCAGTCTCATAGACCAATATCCCTAACCTTGTCAACCTGTAAGCTATTAGAAAATATTATAAACCGTCACCTTCCATGGTTTCTGGAAGATAAAAAATTACTTATACAAATATATGTCGGATAACCTAGTTAATCTTGAATCCGAAGTTGATGAAGCACTCACACTGTCTAGGTATTTTATGCGATATAACAAAAGCCTACGATTGCACATAGAGATATAGCATAGTAAAAGAGCTTCACTCCTAGGATATTAATGGACAATTCCTAAAATTTATTCAAAATTTTCTTTAACTCAGAACATTTAAGGTACGAGAAAATGGAACATCATCTTCAACTCGAATCCAGGAAAACGGAGTCCCTCATGAATCGGTGTTAAGTGTAACTTTTTTTCTTGTTGAATTAACAATATCTTGGAACAATGTCAACAACCAGTTAAAGGAACACTGAACGCAGACGATCTAGTTATCCTCCTAAGAGAAACAAATCTAGAATCCAGCCAAAGAATCCTTCAAAGCGCATTAAATAATCTCCAGAAATGGTCTGACAAAACAAGACTCAACTTCTCTAATGAAAAAACAAAATGCTTGCTTTTCTTAAAAAACCGAAAAGAGGATAATCCCATTTTAACATTGAGTGGTAAAAATCTGATCTTTGTAAAAGAAATAAAATTCCTTGGTGTCACATCTAACGGAAAAGTCACATTAAAAATCTACAAGGTACTTGCCAGCGAAGCATTAATATTTTATACATTGTCGAACATTACCTGGGGAATGGGGTAGCGATACGGCAACTCTTCTACGAATCTTTTTCATCCTCCGTTTCATTCAAAATTGACTACGGCTCAGTGGTATATAACTCAGACAAGAAATCTATTCTTAAAGAACTAGATGTAATTCAAAATACACAAATATGGGCCTTTCGAACAAGGCACATACTAAGTATATAGAGTGAGTCAGGGCAAACCCCTCTAGAATTTAATAACGTCCATAACAATGGTTTCAGCCACTATTTCTTATCTCACCGTCAATGCATTCCCCCTTTTTATAGACAAATTAACCGATTACTTCATAAATATAGCATAATATATCCGATAATATACCACCCTTCCGAAAACCCTACTCCTCCGTGGACTGTAAATAAGCCACCAATGATCACTGATTTATCAAAATTTAATAAACATGAATCTCCACCAGCCATAATAATAAACCAATTTAAAAATATTATGGATATATTTAGAGACTACCCACAGATTTACACAATTGCACCAAAAACAGCGGACGGAGTGGCGGCAGCCATTTTCTCTAATACTTATATTACTAAATTTAAGTTGCATAACACCTGGAATATCTCTAATGCAGAACTATACGCAATCCTTGAACCTCTAAAATTCATTAACAAAACGGGGCCAGTATGTGACTACAAAACCCAAAATATCCATATATATTAATACTCACCTAGTCACTAAAGCCCTTTCCAAGAGAATACAATATATATATATATATATATTATATATATATATATATATATATATATATATATATATATATATATATAAGGATCACTCAGACGAGTGGTGGGTTCTTATATCGGTCTCTAGGTGGAGAAATAAAAGACAAAGTTGATAGGCTACTTTATCTATTTTGAAGACGTTTCGCTTTCGAGTTTTGAAAGCATCGTCAGTTCATCTAAAAAAGTACAATATGAGAACCACACAATCATGGAAACGATGTTAATTGTTACCTTAAAAAGACATGTAGCAGTCAATGTTATTAACAATAATGTGAATGAAACTCAAGTAAATGGGCATAATACGCTGATCTTGTATAAACAATTAAGTAACTAACAACATATATGAACTTATAAAAATTAGCACAGCAAATGACCATGTGGTCTAAAGTAAATTGAATGTTATTTAATGTTAATTAGTGAGCAAGAACTAAGAAAATCATAGATAACTTCCAACTATTTTATGATTATTAAGCTTTGATTTTAACTTTAGGTAGCATTATAAGTGATATTAATAAAAATTATAAAAGTAGTGTAAATGAAGTTACCGATCAAAGTCCTACAAGTGTCACCGGAAAAATGGCGTTAGATGAACCGGAACGAACTAAACCGCGAAAAGACAGCCAACCTTGAGGTCAAAATACTTTTGACCGATCAGCAAGGTGGAGGTACCAACCCAAATAATTGGGGGGTCAATTTAAAAGTTTAAATGAGTTTGGATGACTACCCGGTTGTAAAAGACAAAGCAGTGAAAGAAATTGGTATTATAATAGCAACTCCTCTCACTAATCAGCCTAGATTTACAAACAGGAGATTTTCATTCAACCTCATATGTATGTCATAACGTTAATCATTATGGCTAGTTAATCAGCTACAGGTGGTTAACGACACATTAATTTCCAACAGCCCAAGGTGAGAGGATTAGTGAGAGGAGTTGCTATTACAATACCAATTTCTTTCACTGTTTTGTCTTTTACAACCGGGTAGTCATCCAAACTCATTTAAACTTTTAAATTGACCACCCAATTATTTGGGTTGGTACCTCCACCTTGCTGATCTGTCAAAAGTATTTTGACCTCAAGGTTGGCTGTCTTTACGCGGTTTAGTTCGTTTCGGTTCATCTAACGCCATTTTTCCGGCGACACTTGTAGGGCTTTGATCGGTAACTTCATTTACACTACTTTTATAATTTTTATTAATATCACTTATAATGCTACCTAAAGTTAAAATCAAAGCTTAATAATCATAAAATAGTTAGAAGTTATCTATGATTTCTTAGTTCTTGCTCACTAATTAACATTAAATAACATTCAATTTACTTTAGACCACATGGTCATTTGTTGTGCTAATTTTTATAAGTTCATATATGTTGTTAGTTACTTAATTGTTTATACAAGATCAGCGTATTATGTCCATTTACTTGAGTTTCATTCACATTATTGTTAATAACATTGACTGCTACATGTCTTTTTATGGTAACAATTAACATCGTTTCCATGATTGTGTGGTTCTCATATTGTACTTTTTTAGATGAACTGATGATGCTTTCAAAACTCGAAAGCGAAACGTCTTCAAAATAGATAAAGTAGCCTATCAACTTTGTCTTTTATTTCTCCACCTAGAGACCGATATATGAACCCACCACTCGTCTGAGTGATCTTTATATATTTTGGATTGACGGTCGTACTCCTTTTTTCCGATATATATATATATATTATATATAGTAAAAAAAAATAGTTAAGAGTACTGATTGTCAATTTAGTGAATAGTGGGCCATTCGGTTATTTCCCTCCAAAGAGTAAACTCTCGTTAAATGCAAAACTATCACTTCTTCGGTTATTTTTCGAAGGCTAAACTTCTCAATACACATGACGATGATGACTCCATTAATGAACTCGCAGCATTAACGCCAGATTTCTTTTTATCATATTTCATGTGATGGTAATTTGAAATTTGAAATCTTATTTTTCTTTAGGAACTCGAGGAAAGCATCGTGTCTCAGAAGGTGTAGTCGAAATTTCAACGGGTTTTTAAAAGCATTTACTGTCACATTAAGAATTTCTTCTATCAGGTAAAGAGTGTCAATTTTTTTAACTTTCTCTTGAGCTGTATGAAGCTTTGCGTTATTCTACTGTAGAACCTATTGTACCATCTTTTATTTTAAAATTTTTAATCAATATCCCTCCAAAAAACTTTTGTTTCAAACAATTAAAAAAAGTTTTCAACTAATCATTTTTAATCTTAACCTTTCATATTCTAGGAAGTGCATGGCACAAGAGGAGGAAGATACTTACTCCCGCATTCCACATGGATATTCTTCATCAATTTGTGGAAGTATTCAACAAAGAAACTACTTTTTTAGTTGAAAGATTAAAGAAAGTATGTGATGCACCTTACCTAAATCTTGCGGAGCACATAACAGATTTTACATTATTTTCAGTTGCAGGTAAATACCTTTGTACCTAGTAGTACCTTTCAGGAAGTGTGTATAGCAACAGTACATTCCCGTTACCTTTTACTTTATTATTTAGAAATTAGAAAATGTTTTTAGTTCTTTCTTATCTGTGTCTTGCCAGTCAACACATTTTTTGTTCCACTAAAATTATTATCGTTTAATGAATATATTAGGTCGGACTTTACTGATGATACGTATTATTGCCATCAGTGATCTAATCTAAGGTCGCCTAAGAGAATCAAATGTTCTCAAAACGGATACCGGGTCGAATCCATGAGAAAATCCGAAATTCTTGAATTCGCCTTTGTATTCGCCCCGAACAGTAGGTAAATGGATCAGGTCGGTGGATTCTGTCATAAGGATCTGAAGTCTCTCTTCAACTTAATCGGTGCTGTCAGTAAAACTCTATATCGTCCATAGATAAGAAGGTTAGGTTAGATATCGTCCCTTGAGAGCAGAACTATACTATGTCACAAAATGCAAATTTTACAGGAGAGGTTTTTTTTGTTTTTGAGATCTCCTTACGTAAAATTGTAGTAATAAATTAAATTGAAATATTTTTTTAGTGCCCAGATACATGTTTCTTTACCTAACATTCTCTAAAATTACGAAATTATGAAATAAGTGGACATAGTATACTCACAAGTTTTTTAATAATTCTATGTAAAGTATCGGTATAGGTTACTACTTTTGTAATGTGACATAGAATAGTTCTGATGTAATAATAATAATTAATAATAAATAATACCCACTAGTTTAAATCTTATATTTGAAAATAAAACACATTTTTAAAAAGATCTTTACAATGAAAAAGAATTCGAACTTAAAAATAATCCAAAATACTGTTACTAGCGATAGAAATAAGAAAAATCCTAATTCAATTGTCATTGTCTCAATCTTTTGCTGTTTCTTTCTCAGAAAATGGTAAATTTTTTAAAAAAATTGTGATAAGGATTCAATATAACTCTCTTGTCACACAGAAAATTTTAAATGGTCATACTTTTTTTTGGATATGGGAAGTAATGTTGTATTAAGTGGTTTTAAGCAAAAGTCTCTGGCATTGACGTTGAGTGACTTTCTTCCTTTTGTAGATATAAATATTTTTTTTAAATGGATCATCGTTACTGTAAGAATATTTTATGAAAACTACATTTGGGATATGAAAGTCTGTTTCAACAATTTTAATTTTATTCCACGTGACTTTTTCATTTTGTTCATCCTTGTCCCAGTTGATTGTCGTTTTTTCTTGTAGATTTTTTTAAATTCAGTATGTTTGCTTGCTCTAGTTCAATTACACCGTAAGGTTGTTTTCTTTTCGCAGACCTAACGATTGTATACCATTGTTCAGGAGTATAAACAGATACATTCCTCGCAGCCTTCTCTATAACACTATGTACTGAGTCCCCTTGAGACTGTGTATGGCCTTTTTCTAAAAATGTATGGCGAATTTTTGTTTTGTCTTTTTGGCACAGGTAATTGTATAACGAAAACAAATTTTCTGTTTTGACCAGAACAGTTGTCCGAATAGAACGAGAACTCTTTTACACCTTTTTGGATCTGATTTTCAATAAAAAGAAGGAGACAGCTGCCAATTTCTGAGGATCCCCTTTTTGCAATACAGTCATACCACATGTAGCAAAATGAATCTTTAGTTGCTAAGTCGAAGACCGTGAAATTATACGTACTGAGTTTTAATTTATAGTTCGCAAGACCAACGTCGGATTTCGGGTTGAAAGCACCTGTTGTAGATCAAACGCGGCTGCGCAAAATGTCGTATTCTCTTTAGCTTTTTCTTTGTCGATATTTTTCAGATCCCTCGCCATGTTCTTGTTTCGAATATACAATTGAAATGTTTCTTCTAGTTTTAATTTTTCTTCTGCAGATGAATGTTCGTAATCGTGACAAGTATCACACAAATCTTTTTTGGGGCGAAAAAAAAGACATATTGAACTCGGTATTAAATATTGTTCTGTATAAAGTCGCAGGTAAAATACAAACGTGTTGTTTTTTGCCGACAGTAGTGACTTTCAACAGTTTCGAAGCAGTTAATATGGTCGCGAATGGATTGTTTAACCGATTCATCTAACATTGAATATTTACAAACTTTACCTCTTTTGTCTTCACGTACAACTCCCGTGGAACCAATCTTATTAATTACAGTCCTATTCACCTGAGCGCTAATACTTAAAGTATGAAGAAAGAAAAGTTTGCAGACTTGAACTTTCTTAGTGTCGACTTGAAGGTAATAGATGAATGTAAAATTTCGTCTGGAAGTTAGGTCCTCGGTTGTTTTATCTGCGTTATTTCGGATTCACGTTTTTGCCTTATTGTTACATTGAACAAATTTTGAGATATAATCTCTTTGTCTGTTTATATCTGCAAGATTCCAATATTCCAAAAATATCTTTTCTCTGTCTCCTTCTTTTATTTTATCAGAACATTTCATCCTGCATTTACACGAAACCTTAATTCTTCTTTCAGGTACTAGATTTCCTTTCCAGTTTATGTAAGACTTGCCGCTGTTTCTCGATGCTTTGATTTCAGTTCTTCTCCAGGTGTTGTATTTGCGTTTTCGTTTACGGTAATTTTTTTTTTCTTTTCCGCTTGTGTCTTCCACATCGGAACTATCAAATTCAGAGTCATTAATTGGAACTTGATTATGACGGCCAACAGTAGCTTTTAATTCATAGTTGGGCTCATTATATTCGTCATCTCCTCCAAACGGGTCCGATTCTGAAGAAGATACACTTAAATCATAAAGCAATACATTTGAAGACGGACCAGGTAAATTCATTGTTAACTTATCTTCCATCATATTATGTGATGTACTAATTACATCAACTGTGGTTAGCAATGGCTCCTTCACTTGGCTGATATGAAATGAATCGGGATAAACTGATGACTTAGATGTACAAAACTGACTTGAAACAACGTGCATTGAAGATAAAAATGACACATCTGATTCACTAGTAGATGTTTCCCTTAATAACAGATAGGATGGAGGTACCAAGTTTTCACACCTGGTCATTAAAAAACGGACATCTTTTACATAGTTTGCCACATCTGAAGTTGATTTGTAGGGAGAGTTTTGAACAGTTATTTTCTTATCTGAAATGAAAATAATATGTCAGTACCTACTATCTTTTAATTCATTTCAGATGCGATAAATTTTATGTTATGAAATAATTATAATTAAGTAATGAAAGACGAAATAAAGTATGACTAAGAAACACATGCTATCTACTGAAAAAAGTATTTTTTATAATTATATAAATTCGCATTACAAAATATTTTTAGGTAATAGTTAATAGGCACAATTTTTTTTATCGATTTTACTTACCTAAACACCTATTCTCCTTCCCTTTCATATTTTGAAACATTCGTTGAATCCTTGGATTATTCATATTTTACTACAGAAGAAATGTCGCAGAAAAAGTGTATCTCCAATGAAATCCTATACTAACATACCAAAACTAGGTCAGAACAAGTCGATCTCCATTAAAATTCCACTTTATTCACACAAAATATAGGCAGAACAAGTCTATCTCCACCACTGCAATATACTACTAAAATGAAAACAGATCAGAACAAGTGTATGTCCATTAAAATTATTCAACGCACACTCATTAAGTATACCGTTGCCTACATAGCATCCTTCTGCACTGAACTGACGTCGCTTCAACACATAGACTAGTTAGTAAGGTGTAATTTTACTGGTCTCTCCTCCCACTTGGACTTCGGCTGATTCTGCTGCAAATCAAGCATCCGTTAATGGATACGTTCGGCGTAAAAATCGCATAAAATGAAATTTTGGACATAGAATAGTTCTGCTCTCAGGGGACGATATACAAGGTTATTTATCTTCTTAATGACCAGGACCGTTGCAACTTGGGACTCAGACCTTTCCTTCTCATTAGTTAGTAGAGCCCGACTGCGTCACCTTCCTGAAAGCTAACTAAAGTAGATTTGTAATCGACTATTATCTTTGTCCGGTCACTGGTCAGTTGCAGCATATTCCTGGCGAAATCATGGACCCTAACCAGTCGATCCTTTATGCCACTGACATACTTTGGGACAAACAACAGAGTGATTTATAACGTACATAGAAATAATACAAAAGAAAGTTGAAACAGGCAGTTGAGACAGAAAATATAAGCGAAACAAAATAAAAGACAGAGAAATAACTTTTAAGCAAGTACCAACATAAACATATTTAGAAGGTGTTATAACATAACGTGATGGCAAATTGCATAGAAAAATAATAGAAGGAAAAAATAATAACAAAGATGCTACAAGAAATATAAAGTAAAAAAACAATTATAAAAATATAAAAGACAAAATAATTTTAGCTGGTATGATTATTACTGAAATTCTCTTGGTATATTCCTATATGACAAAATTAGTCACAAACCATAGAAGAAAGCGCAAGAAGTGGAATAGAGGATCAGAACATGAATTTTACGTTTGAAAATGAGGTTAGTGTCATATTAGACTCGAGAATAACAAAAAAAAATGCTGAAGAAAGTTGTAAGGATTGATACACTTTTATTAAGTACTTTATAAATTACAGTAATTAAAAATCGACAATACAAAATAGCAACCGACTTGGTCTGGTGAGAGCGAAGTCAACTAAGTGAAGTTGTTCGTACCAAAAGATACTTTTAACGGTTAAAAATATAAAGCGCTCTAGTCAGTGGCGCGTATGTTTAAATACAGATAAAAAATGAATATATTATTACTATAACGAATAACTTTAAAACAAACATAGATGCGAAACGGAACAAATGCGAATAGTCGACTGATAAAATATAAACATTAGTAAATGATAATAGGGAATAGAAAAACAAGAAAAAATTAATGCGTTGAAATTAGAACAACTACCAGAATGAAACTTAAAGAATCCGTAATGCTACAAGATACACATCTATCAGATAAATGTCCTCTTTAACGACCCAATAACTTCGAAGAATAGATGCATTCAATGCAATGAG